AGGGGGGGTGGGGTTGAGATGGAGAGGATGATAGGAGAGGAGAAAAGCTTTAAAGTGGTGGTGTGTTGGGACTGATTATTTTAAATTTTTTCCAATTGTTTAGTCTGATTTTTTGTAAAGGAAAATGGATGAGACATAAGGAGGAAAAGAAATATCACATGGACAGTAATATATTTAGTATTTAGTTTTTAATCGATTTTATTTTTTTAATCTTTATCGATTCAGTTTGGTAAAATATGGGTTCGGAACGGTAACTGATAATTTGGTTACTGTTACAAGCGAGTCGATACGGTTCAGTTTATTTTTTCGTCGATTCGGTTCAGTTTTTAGTTTTTGGTAGAAAAAGAAAATAAACAAAAAAAAATAAAAATCTGCCCTAATATCTTATTCAAATATTGTTTCTAAGTCAAACAAAGATTGCCTCTCATTTTGTCTCTGTTTATTTCCATCTCGAGTATTTTCTTAGCTTCTCCCAAGTCTTTCATCTCAAGCTCTTGATTTAGCTGAGCTTTTAAATGATCAATCTCCACTTAGTTCTTTGATGCAACCAACATGTCATCCACATACAAAAACAAGTAATAAAAGATCCATCTTGCAGTTGTTGTAGATACACACAATGGTCATGTCTGCTTCGCGTATACTACTACCCAATCATTAACTTATCAAACAGTTTGTACCACTATCTCAGATATTGCTTCTGTCCGTACAACGATTTATTCAACTTACAAACTCAATTATCTTCAAGAATTTTGAATCCTTCTTACTGGTCGTGTAAATATCTTCATCTAAATCTCCGTGCAAAACATTGTCTTCATGTCAAATTGAGCTAGCTCCAAATTTAACTGTGCTGCTAAGGCCAACAAAATTCTAATGGAAGAGTGCTTAACAACTGAAAAAAAATAACTTAATTATAATCAACTCCTTATTTCTGAGCATAGCTTTTAACCACCAATCTTGACTTATAGCACACATCATTCTTGTGAGGAAATTCATTTGAATATTATCGCCCTCTTGCCTTTTTGTAGTTGCGTCACCTTTCAAGTTTGGTTCTTAAAGAGAGACAACATTTGTTCTTCTATAGCTCATTTCCACTTCTATAGCATTACTCACATAGAGAACCCCTCCATTGATCTCCTGAAAATTGAAGAACCACTCTCTTATGGGAAACATTTGATAGATGCATCCAAAATCCAAAATCGGAGTCTTCATTTCCACCCTCGGCAACATATGCATCTTGAAGAGATTTGCCCTTCGTCAACTTAGGCCACTTTTTCTTCTAGTGCCCTTTCTCATGGCGAAAGCACGCTCGTCTTTGTCAAGTTTGACATTGGAACGTGATCTTCCTCGTCTATTCTTCTTTTGGCTCTTCGATCGACCTCTTGCAACCAACGTTTCATCTTCTGCTGCTGCATTATCCGTCTCTTATTTATTCTTCTTCCTCAACTCATAGCTATACAGAGCATAATTGACCACTATAAGAGTTACATCGTCCTTCCCATGAAGCATGAGTAGTCTCCAAGTGCTCGAACTCATCCGGAAGAGATGATAACAACATCAAAACTAAAACTTCATCGTTGAATGTGATGTACAAGTTCAACAAATCTGCAACCAACTGATTGATAGCAGTGACGTGATCATTCATCGATGTGTGATGCTGGTAATTAAATTGAAATAATCGCTTCTTCATGAAAATCTTATTCTGGTCATTCTTCTTTGGAATTTGTCTTAAGCCTTCCACATGGTGTGAGTAGAGTTCTCATTTTTTAACGCGTACTTCTGCTCCCTGCACAAACACGAAAGAATTGTTCCACATGCTAAAAGTGGTTGATATTCTTTCAGTCCTTATTGTCAACATCATCTGACTTCTCTTCTTCAATGATAATATCGATGTCTTGCTAAAAGAGACAATCAAACACTTCGCCTTGCCCCATGCAAAAATGACTGACCATCAAAGATGTCCACCGAGAGTCTGATGTTTGGCATCACCGTCCTTGTTGGAATGAGTGCAAAGGATGATGCACCCTTGATCTTCTTGACCATGCTTGCCTCGCCGAATGAGACTAGGACAAACATTCGACTCTAATACCACTTGTTCGGGTATCACAAGCGCAACGGACAAAAATACCGCCACACAAATAATGACAAACATTAACAAAAATAAACCAACACAAATAAATAAAAGACGAGAAAGAAAAATAACATACAAAATTGATAATGGAGTATAGCTATTATTGCCTACATCTCTGGGCACCACCAACCACAATGTCAAATTCATTAAACTCACCAACAAAATACAATTAGGATTATAAAACCCACAAATTAAGATTTTTCTAATTAAAGATTTTCTTCTAAGATACGAGAAAAAAGAATAAAGTGTAATGGTAACAAAAACCAAAAAACTTATTTATTCTAAAAAGATCCTACAAATCTTGTGGAACATATCCGATATGAAACAAACATTAATCGAAATTTAATACTTACTCATTATATATGTGGCTTAGGAGGAAAACTCCAATTTACCCTAACGTTTGGCAGCCTGATTTATTTACAAAGATCAATTGTCCTGAAATAAAATAAATGGCCCACCTTCTTATTATCAACAACCAAAAATATATTTATGATTATCTCACAAGACTTATTTTCAGCATCTTTTGATGTATGATTGTCAGGGGGACTAGATTTTCCAGCAGGGGAGTTAGCACGTTATTATTATTTTTATTTATTTTTTTTCGTTTTTATAGTTATGGCTGATTTTNAACTTGATCTATGGTTAGGAAGAGCTTCAAACCTCTATCATGACAAAAATAAAAAACTAGTAGAAGGTTGAACATTCACAATACTCGTTATAATTTCCTTTCAAAATATATTCCAATCTGAAGGAGGTGTACTGTACCTTCAAATTTTATCTATTTAGACTGCTCGAAAGGAGCCCGGACAAAGAGACGTCCATGCAGGCTAACCACGGCTGAAGTCTGAAGTGTATCGATTTTTGCCGGTAAGGTTATCACCTAAAAATAAATAAATCAAACGAATAAAAATCCCGGCACCTTGTTTATCCACGACTACAAACTTGAATTCATCTTCTAAAGAGACTCTTGAACCCTTTATCGTAAAAGTTTAGCGTATTGGAAAAAAGAGATTGGTGGGGTTTTTATAATTTTGCCCAACTATTTCGTTCAGGGCATATTATTCAAAGGGAGAAAAGGTCAAGGTACCTTTTTAAACGGCGTAATCCCCCAAGGATTATCAATTTGCTCAGGCTGACCTGTTATGACTACATGTCCATCAGGATCTGATTGAACACGTACCTGAGTCACCAATCACAGAAGACAAAATCATATGTTGTCTTGTCTCAACTTGCAAATCTCAAATTGATAAACGCAAATACAATGTAGGCAAGATATATCGATTTACACGAATTCATGTGTGAGTCTAAGCAGGTCGACCTGTCATACTTTCAAAAGAATGCATAGTTGCATACTTATAATGTAAAATGTCATATTTTTGTTTATGTTTTTAAATATGTCACTTATGTATGAAAGTATGCATATTTGTAAAAAACGTATAACTACCTAACAGTTACACCAGTCTAACGGTCAAGTTGTGCAAAGTTTTGTTCATGTTCAAAGTTGCACAAATTCGAAAATGTGGCGAAGCGCACAAAAAGTATTTTTAAATGGACAAGGACAAAAGAAACAAACATATTATTGTATCTTTTTATCAAGAAATTCCACAACTGCACTTGAGTGTGTGTTCACAATTTTCTAAACTACAAATTCTAGTATCCATCATCTTCCATGTCACACAAAACACAACAAATGATAAAGAATTTTAAAATGAAATTATTATGTCTCTAAATCTGTGACTATTGATGTCCCCACCAATTTTACAATTATTATAAAAATTACATTAATCTGCTTTTTCAATAATTCATTCCTCACATCCTTAAACTGATGAAAATAGATGAAAAAGTATGACATCCTGTTATCAGGTTCCAATCAGAAAACAACATAAAGTCATGCTATTTCTATCTAAAATAACAATGGTAAGAAGGATAAAAAAGGAGGAGGCCGTTTGTGTCTTTCTATTTTGCTTTTCTATTTTCTTTTTTTTTTTCTTTGATGCAAGGGAAGGGTGGGAATGGTATATTTGATCACACACACTCACACATACCCACATGGGCGTGTGTTGATCCATCAGTAAAATAATAATAATAAAAAAAAAATAACATGTGCAGTAGGTACTAATTTATTGGGGGGGAAGACTGGAAAGCCAAGCAAGAGAGGATAGATTAGGACAAAAGTCAAAAGGGAGCACACCTCTTCACGTAAAAGCCCAGGAACTAGAGCGTAGACCTCAAAACAATCTTTCTGCACATGCAAAATGAATAAATGTCAATTCATATAGCACATGAAAATGTATGGTTGCAAGTGAGAAAGACAGAACCAGATAATTTGAAGGAAACGTACAGTTTGGCGAACATTAATCTTCACCCAGTCCGCTGGAGGCCCAGCATCAACAACTGACTGGACTAGTCTACAAACCAGAAAATAGCAATTAAAAAATGTAATTCTCTCACGGAATCGCCTAATAAATGGACAATAGCATCCCAAAGGTTTTAGATACAATCAACAATCATTTTACAAAAAAAATAATTGTACTTCATGTACATCAAAAATCCGTCATTAGACCAAACCCAACTGGACTCACCTCACGACCTCCCCATTTTTTTTAATTTTTTTTGTTTTTTTTATAAAAATATTGGGACTCCGCCTATATCAAAATCTTATTTTTCCTTCATTTGTTTTTAAATATCGGGACCCAATTTTAGATGCGCTGGACGGATCGGCTGAAAAAATTCAGGCAAATAATACAAAATATTTTGAATCATCTTTACACTTATAACACTGACATTTGCCACTCCCGAAAGGGAAAATTGAGTCATCATTTACACTCCTGGCTGAACCAAAAGAAAATTGGTGAAAAGACTTAACTGCTTAGGTATATCAGTTCTGGCAAGTTTGTTTGAATGCTCCATCTGCTTAGGTATATCAGTTCTGGCAAGTTTATTTGAATGCTCCATTTCATTTGGTCTTTTCTGTTTGAGAGAGCCTACACATGATATCAGATAAAGATAAGCCACTATAATGAATCAAGTGATAAAGATGAAAGCGAAACAAACCTATTGACAGTTTGAAAGAGGTTAATCTGAAGATCATTTACGTAAAATATACTGAAAAACAAGTGGCATACCAATGCTTTTTATAATCTTCTCACAAATATACTGAAAAACAAGTGGCATACCAATGCTTTTTATAATCTTCTCACGCTTGGCCATATTGCTCAGACTCTTGTCCTATAAAAATATGTTTAACAAAATAGTGTGACCAGAAATGAACACTCAGTAGTAAAAATATAAAAATGATCTTAAAATGTCAACTCTGACTGACCTTTATAATAGGCTCACCAATCTCACTACCAGAAACACGTTGAGCACGAGCAGCAGCATCTCTTCTAGCCTTTCCTGATCCTGAACCCTGAAACCACTTCCTTGTGTAAACTTATATTATTCAAATTTTATGGTGTACTCTGATCTTTATGCTGACATATATATCCAGTCATAGCAACGGCTAATCACGTCAGATACTTGTACGAGTCCTACCCCATTGTCCCGAACTAGCAGTCACAAACACAAAAATAGAATAGATGCAAAACAACCAGTGGCAGAGGAAACACAAACTCACACACACATCTCGTATTTGATAGATATGTGATGAAGATGTGATTTATCAAGACAACTTTATCATCTCTTAAGATTTGTTTATGTAGCTTACTTTATTATCTCTGAATAGTTCTTATAATGAGTATAATTATGGTACGAACTTTATCCAACAAAACAGTTACTTTTCATTATTATTATTAGAGGTGGTTGATTATTGATAAAAATAAAAGTTTTCCCTTCTTTCTATACACTTGTGCAGTGTCCGTACATTGCTTCATCAGTTCCCATCGAGAAGATGTATTATAAGCAAACTCACCTCAGCATCAACACCAGCAGCTTCAGCGGCTGTTGGTATGGGAAGTCGAAGCTCACCAATTCGTATCTTATGCTTTTCATATTCCAGAAGAGACTGATTAATAAGAAAAAAATGGTTGTAAATGTAAAATAATCTATCACCAAATTATTAGCGATGCCGAATTGAATCACTTCCTTAAAAGAGAATTCCATGGCTGTGTTAGAATTTCGATTCTTTCACAATTTTGAAGGGATAAAGGTTACTAGTAAAAGTCCAGAGCAGATGAACATTTTTTTTTTGTACAAATTCATATATGATAGTACAATTAACTTCTTGTTGATTTCACCCATTTTAGTAAAAAGTAGAAATAGAATTGGTCTAGGAGTAAGGTAACTGCATTAGGGTAACAAAAACCACAGTTCAAATGACTGCTACAGAAAGTAGTTTGACTAAAAATATCACCTTCTCATAGAAAATTCGGAACGTCCAAGACACAGTAGTGCAAGTTCTGCAACAAGAAAAAACAAAAAACAGAAAACAATTGAATCACACTTAGAAGCTTAATCCGGTTCCTATCAGTTCTGTTGAAAACGCCGTATGAATATGCCTAGACAAGCCATGGGAGTTATGGGAAGGAAATACTCACAACAAGCTCCTTTAACAAAGCCATGTAAACCAAATCCAAAGACAAAATAAGCATCTTTTGAATATGTCAACTATAAATATCAAAATGCTCAAATGTAAAATCAAAGGCAAACCAAAAGGATATCCCACTGGCAATTGATGAAAAGATTGCCACATTAAATCCAAAAGACAAAAGAGATGATGGTGATAATAATAATAATAATAATTATAATAATTGTTTCACTCAATCTTCTTTACCGATAATGTTTAGGTAAGAGTTAAGACAGTGTCTAGAGAGAGCGAATAAAAAATAAAAAATATACCGAGAGAGTATATAATAATAATAATAATAATAATAATAATAATAATAATAATAATAATAATAATAATAATAATAAATGGGACTTACTTTGGGGGGTGAAATGATTCTCCCACTTGCCTCCACAATTTGGCTCCAGTTACCTATTCAAGGATTACAAATTCATAACTACTGAAATGGCAGCTGAGAATCCTCTACTAAATCCATCAAATATCAACGTGATTAAAATAGCTGGTGCATTTACTTTTATAGCCAGAAGAAGAGCCCATCTCCCCACCCACCCTGTACATATATATTCCCCTTTCCTAGATGCAATCCCCGACCCATTTGCTTAGATATGTATCTTTAAGCATTAATGCATGTGAATATCCTGTGTATATATATATTACATGTATTTTTCAAAATCTGAATTTTAGGGTAACTTGGATTTTTCTAAGACTTCAATATTTCAATTAGTCTTCCATTAGTTAGAAAGAAGCAGACTTTTTTACTTAAAAGTTAAAAGTTAGTGGAGATTTTTATGAGCTAGACAAAATTTCAAGGACAGTTCATATGATTTATACAAAATTATAAATCTAAACATAGTAACAGCTTGCAGTTTTCTATAGGTTGTATGCCAATGGGAATATGTACCCTATCAATTTGTAATGTTTCCCACTCTGAATCAAGCTACGAATAGTTTTACATGATGAAATAGAACATGATGGACTATATTATATATCATGGTATAGTTATGCCAAATCAGGAATAAGATAATCCAGATCCATAAAATCAAATGCCAAATGAAACTCATCCAAGAGGACATTTTCATTTTACATTCAACCTAACATTCCAGACAAGGTTCCAGTGACATACTCTGGTATCAGATGCTCGACACAACAATAATCAAATTATAATTCTCCAATGTTATTCGTGTATTCTAATTCTATTAAAAAAACAACGTAAGCCGGGTGCAGCCTGAAGATCATGTAATCTATAAGCATTAATTCAGTATTTGCCTCATTGGGTCGGGGAAACCAAGGCTTTCAAGTCTAAAGCCTCATAAGCATTTAAAATCTTCTAGGATGCATAAGCCCAGTTACATGCATGCACACCATACTAACCCTTAAATCAAGAGTACACATATACAAAAATAAAAGGCTATAAGGACCATCAGGACAAGTGTACCGTTTCATGGCCTCCCAACCTAATCACGGCCCTCCATAACCTACCAAACAATGAAGTAAGAAAATGAACTCATATCAAGTAGCAAAGCCCTCAAAAGACAAACCACAAGAGATGCTTACTTTAGGCAATTTAGTGGCTGCCCGTAAAATTTGGGTGGTTTGAAGTCTATTGCCTTCTCCCTGTGGAAACTCTCAATTTCCTTCATGAATGCAATTTGATCCTCTAGTGTTCCATCATCGCCATCTCCCATCTAATAAAAATAGTATATGTTAACAACCAATACAAATTTTCATAGATATAATTTTCACACACACACACACACAACATATATAGCACATTTTCTCCAGTCAATACAAAAGTATTACCCACGGCAGTAGTTCTAGTGTAGAAACAGACTTTAAGGTTTCTCCACTTCCGTCTTCAACCTTTGCAGGAGAATTTACACCAAGGGAATCTGTTTTAGTAGCTTCATGCTCGTCCAGGCACAAAGCGTCTTCCCCTTCATGTTTGGCAGCAACTACATCAGTCTTGTCATCCCCATCAGTTTTAGTAGGAAGAACTGTTTCGGCGCCTTGCCCCATCAGACTATCTTGGTCTCGTTCATCCTTATCCATATTAGCTGCATCATTCATTTCTACATCCTCAACGTGCTGAACATTGTCTAGATCCATTTCCTGTCTTTGAGGCGGTTCATATGAAGAAAGTTTCCCATGCTCCACATGAGCAGTCTCCATCAACTTTTCTCCTAATGAAACACGTTCAGCACCATCCAAGTTCAACTCGCAGATTCTTTCAGGATTTTTCTCTTTAACATCTTCATTGGGGTTTTCGGCCACATCCTTCACATGATTTCCATTGTCCATCTCCTTCTCCGTTGGGTTCTCTTGCAAACCACAACTAGCAAATTTTTGTTCAACCACTTCTTTTTCCATATCTGCTTGTTTATCCACTGAACTTCCACAAACATTCAGCTCATCTTTTGCAACAGCTTTTATTTGCTCAACATTCCCACTTTGGGTACTGATTTCTTCATGAACAGACCCTTCCTCATTGGTCACACTATTGTGATTATTTTCTTCTTTCACCTTAGCATTAGTACAATGGTTGTCTTTTTCTTCATTTGAACATCTATTTACATCTTCTCCTCCATTCTCCATTTCAGTTACATCGCCCATGACAGTAGCTGAACCGGGAAAGTTCTCCTTTTTGCTTTCAACATTAGCGTCTACGACTTCACTTTTTGACTCTGGAACATGGTTTCCTGAACCACTGGGTAGCTTTTCCGCATCTTCCATCTCTAAACCACTTTTTCTCCTTATGGTATCTACTCAAAGTCATCACAGTAGGTCCATCATGACATATTCTAAGAAAAACATAGATAGTCCTCAGAGTCGCGAAACAGGACAAGCAAAACGCGTAAACCTCAAACAAAGATAAAATGTAAAAATCGAAAATCAAGGGACACCCAACAACAATCAGAAATCCTAATTCAGTTACCAAAACGAGAAGGTGGTTTCTCCATGCATGGAGGGTGGGCTGAAAACCCATAACTCAGTAAACCAGAAACAGAACGAGGACACCGAAAAAATCCCAATTCTGTTTAAGTTGATTAACAACAGATTAATAAAATTTTAAGGAAAAACCAATTACATCATGAATCACAGGTACCTTCGGAGCTTGAATTAATAAAAATAAGATGGATACGAAATCTCAGGTAGAACAAATCGAGGTGGCAACGAGCGAACGAGTGTTCCGATTTCTGAGCGCCCTACAGCTTCAGCTCAAAATTGGTCAACATCAAATAGGCACGAAAATCAAGACTGCCTATGTAATCTGCAACGCGATGAGAAAGCATGTGCTTTGGAGGTGGAAGCCGATGAAAGCTCAAAGCCGAGGTAGAGAGAGAGTGAGTGATTACTCCGCTAGGGAATGCGGTGGAGAGAGAGAGTGTGTGTGAGAGAGAGAAAGAGGCATCTGTTTATGCGGTTTAGTAGTTCAAATCAAAACGAATTTGGCTCAAAGATGCAACATTTGGTTGATTTGTCTATTTTGCCCTTCCAAAATTTAGTTTTGAATGGGTGGATGTTTTTTTTCACTAAATTATAGGAATTTTATAAGTAACACATAATCATAACTAGAGGTCAGCTAAAAGTCGAATTTAGTGAGAGGACACCCCAGAGAAGCCTAAACACCATAATACACCCACGATAGTAAAACAAACTCCCAACAGGAGAATTTAGATCTTAAACGGGATAATAATACACACAAAATGTCAAAAACACAAACCCAAACACACAAAAACAAAGAAGAGAAAAAGTCCTTCCCACAACCGTGCTAACACACCAGTCAAAACTCAACGGTAAACCCACGATCGACCTCCAACAACCCAGACCACGGCTCAAGTTTCAACACTAGAAACTGCCACACACAGCCTAACTAGAGACGAAGCACAAGACCCCGATCCGCGCCTTGGCGGCCGACCACAACCCCTCAGCCGGAGGTCAGCCGAACTGTAACGCCCCAAATCAGAAATATTATTAAGAACGGTTTCACTGCTCGACTATAAGTGATATCCGTAATTTTCAGAAATTTCGAGTTATATTTCGTATGCTAAATGCTCTATTTATTTCCTAAGTTTGATAGATCACTCTTTGGGAAAATTCTATGTCAAGTTAAAGTCAAGATCAATCCATTGATTTCGGTTGATAATTGATATCTAATCGACTCAAGAAATTGTTGGTTTCAAATCCTAGTTTCATTCCGGATTTATTTCCAAGTCATTTCCCAGCATAACCGAGCCTTTGGCTATTGAACCCTAGACTTGCATGCCTCGGCACTAGCACATAAAACCCTAGAAGGTTAAATACTCGGCCTTAGAAGTGGCCTCGAGCCATCATAGTGATGAGGGCACGCGAGCTATCGCACACGCAAGTTCAAATGCTCGAGTCTCCCGCACGAGCTCGCCATGCCCCGAGCCTCCAAGACCCCGAGCCCCGAGGAACCTAGCACGCATACAAACCATCAGTGTCCATGTACCTAGGAGATGGCTTTGATGTGGGGAAATACCGAGCACAAGCACGAACACCCTTAGCCTCACGTCCACGCGCGCGTCCACCCGAGCAGAGTCCGTGCGCGAAAGAGTTCCCAAGCAACGAACCGGGACTTAGCCACTTCAATCCCTTATCCATAAGTGGTCCGTGTATTTAGTAGGATTATTAGTCTTTTTCTAAGTCCTAATTAAACTCTAGAGTCATTAGCCAAGTACCTACCCTTAACCAATTTTAGATACTATAAGAAGAATGAGTGCTCTAGTATTTTAATGTCTTGTGTAAGACATTGTTTCCCACTCATTTCCATAGTAATAAACCAGACTTGTCAACCTCTTTTTCAGCAATTACCTCGTGCACTAACAGCAAGATGCTCCTCCATCATGTGCTAAGTCACTTTGTGCATGGGAGTTAGAAGTTGTAAGGCATTGTCCCCTAAATTGTTCCCCCACTTTCTTTCTTTGTTATGTCCGCCCAAGACCCATCTTTAAGGCCTCACTTCAGATCCTCTTAGACCTCATTTGATACCATCAAACTCTTAGAAATTTTGAGCAAGAAAGCCCCTTCTAAAGCCAAAAACCGAGAGTTATTTCAAAGTGCCGAAAAGAAAAAAACAGCTCACCCGAGTGCATTGTTTGAACTTGTTCTTGAATCCTAAACATCAAACCTTCAATCTCTCAGCTATATAATCATCCTCCAGCATCCCCCTCTATTCCTAGAAGCTTTTAGTGCCAGAAACCTCAAGGTTTCAAGCCAAAGGAAGCAAGAAGACGCAACCATTCAAGAACCAAGCGAGAACCAAGCATACCCAACTTCTTTTGCGTTTTTCTTGAAGATTAAGAGATTGGTGTGCTTAAATATTTTTATAATAATAATATAGATGAGATAAGGAGTTGATTGGTATAGATATGTGTCATATATGTTCAGTTATGAAGGGTATATAAGCATGCAAAATGTATAAATGCTCCCAGCTCACTTGCATGTTCCATATGTCATGTTTTCGTACGTTTTTGCCTATGCTCTGAAAAATCTGGGAATGTGCGAATTTTATGGCTATTTAATGTGGAAGAGAGGAGTTCATAGGATTAAGAATTAGGTCAATTGGCTTAGTAACTCGAGTTCTTGATTTTTAAAATTAAACATGCAAGATGAACTTTACATGCGCGAATTTCAGTTGCGACTTCAAACGCGTAGAACTCGAGTTGTACTCAGGATAAAATTATGAAATTTTATGGACATGTTTATATATGAGTTGAGAGCCTTCATACCAAATTTCATGATTTTATCATAACAAATGAAGCAGTTATAATTTTTAGATCGCATGCGTGTCGAACTAATTTTATGTGCGAGAGTACTCTATCCACATGCAAGCTATGAATGCGAAACTTTTATGTAAAATCCTCTTATGAGTGGTGAACACTGTGACAGAGTTTGAGCTTAAAATGTTGATCATGTGATTTTAAAAAATTGTTGCAATATGCGCATGTATATAACTGAATTTCATGTTATGCTTAAGTCATGAGTTTTATAAGCAAATGAAGTCCTATTGACATGAAATTTGGATAGAAAGTACATGTCTATGTCTACTATTTAACTGCCAAGTTTCGTGATTTTTAGAGACTTGTGTGAATTTTAAAAATTCATGAGGTTAAGAGCTCAATTATGTTCGGTTTAAATTTTAGATAAATGTAAAATCTTGATTTAATTGAGCTTCATGAGTAGACATGGCTTAGTATAAGTTAAGTGACCGGATAGGGTCACTGTTGTGTACAAATTGTTATATTTTACCGAGTACCAAATCAAGGTTTCCTTCCCCGGGTCGATCTCACGAGGAAGGCGGTTCGGAATTTAGCTTTGGTATCGATCACACAGAAAAAGAAAATAAATCCTAAACACTCTAATCAGATAGGGGGTTTGAATAATTACTAACCAAGAAATATTAAAAAGCAATAATCTACCTAAAAATGTAAACGGAACAAGATGGAGAAGCTAGGGAATCGGGGATAATTTATTCAAGTTCTTAGCAAAACCGGGCAATCAATTGTTCAGTTCTAGATTGACACTCTCGCTTAAACATCTAGCGGTTCACTCCCAATAACTCTTCGTAACAAGGGATTGAACATAGACAAGCTAGCTCGAGCATACAACACATGTCAATTATCCCAGTCTCAATAACTTTTCGTAACAAGAGACGGGTTATCGACAAGTACGTATTTCAATCCAAAACCTATAGACTATTCAGTTACGAAATCATCTATCTCATGCGAGCCTAGGTCTACGACTTCTCCCCTTTCGGTTCTAAAAGTCGCTAATTCAATTAGAAGGTGTTTAATCAACTAATCATATAGAATCAACAACCCTAACTCGACAAATTAACATTCAATTGATACCAATTGCAAGATCGAAGTGTCACCCTTCGATTATATCAAGTTATCAAGCAAGAATTAATTAACCCTAATTAAAACAACTCGCACAAGCATGAACAATCTTGAGCCCGACAATAACGAAATTAATCAAGAATAATCATCCCTTATCCCTAGCAGAAGGAATTAGCTACGTATAACGAATTCAACAAACATAACCATTACTCTCAAATTAACCATTATTCATGAATTAATAAAGAGAGAAAAACTTACAATAAATCCAAATCTCAGTTGTTGAATCCAAAATACAAAGCTTAATCCTTGATAATAATAAAAAAGAAGAAGAAAAATGGAGAAGAAGGATGAAGAGAAGGGAAAAAATGACGAAGAAGAAGAAAAGGAGGAGAAAGGGATATTTCGTGTTTTTCCCGACCCTAGGTTTTCACCCAGGAGGGGGAGATGGTCCCAAAGATTTTTCCCGATTAAATATATATAGTCGCACGTTGGCACGACGTGGAAAGATGGCGCGGCGCGAGAGAAGTGCGCTTCGCGGCGTGGTGGGATGTTGTGCCGCGGCGTGGTGGATGTCGCGGCGTGGCGCGCTGAAGGCTGGGAGCTGCAGTCGGGGTCGTGGCAGGGGCGCGGCGCGGTGGAAGGGCGCTCCGCGGCGCGGCAGGGCTTCGCGGCGCGGTGAAAGGGCGCTCCGCGGCGCGGCAGTGCTTCGCGGCGCGGTGGATGGGCGCTCCGCGGCGCGGCGGGCGCGCGGGGCCTGGACAGCTCGCACTACTTCACATTTTGGAGTCGTTCGGGCACGTCTGGTATCGGAATTGAGTTCTGCTTTTTCCTGTGTGTTCCCAATGAACTCCTCTATCTAATTACGCTTACCCAACTGACTTTTGCCCAAAATTCGATCTTCCTGAAGCTTTCGACCTACACACCATAAACGAAGAAAAACCGGAAAAACATACGGAAAACACAAGAAAAACCAAGATAGAGTAAAACACGCGATAAACTACAAAACGAGATAAAAACTAACTAAAAGACCTAATATGGGGGAAAAAGAAAGGAAAAATAACAAGGAAAAATAACAAGGAAAAATGCAACAAAAATGGGACAAGCAGTCACCTTCCCGCCCTGACCGGCAAGCAGCCAGTGCCGCACGGTCAGCGTGCGCGAGTGCCGCCCG